TAGAGAAACATCAGCAGTTTTAGAAGATTGTTTAATCCCCCTAACAAAAAGTTTTAAACACGACTATGAATTTAACTCAGTATAAATTCATCCTACGGTGCCAAAAAATGGTAGTCATGCCATTCATTAAATACTTGTTTCTGCTGTCTTCCTTGCACCATCATTTGTGTTCATGCAGCTGTGCATTAATTGCATTAATTGGATCAAGAAGCTGATCCTGCTGCAAACTTATTTTCTTGACAGGTTAGCTTTTGCTAGCAGTGTGGATTTATGACACATTAAATTGAAAGTGGAACTATAGCATTAGTGTTTTACCTTCACGCAAAATGTTGCACTGTTTAATTAAAAAAAATAATTGAAGAATTTAGGTCTTTGGGTGAATACTCACATTTGTTTCTCTCATAGGATTTGCATTGATTTGGCTTAAATCTGTTAAGACTGATTTAGTCTAAATCACAAAAGCAGATGGAAAAATAACAGTTTTTGAGAAAGCTTTGACTACATTGAAAATCAGTAGTTTAACCAGTGCAACCATACGTTCACTACATATTATTCAATGGAGGCCTGAAAACCAAAGCTATTCACTACAAAACTTGAAATCCCAATTCTGAAAGAAGATGCAGAGACTCTACCAGAAAAAGACGAGGTTACCACAAATCACCAGCTGATCAAGATCCACAGAGGACTACCTGCAACTAAAAATCATACGTACTCCTTCCTCTCTTATCTTCTACAGGAAACTAGCAGTAGAAGAAAGTGAAGGAAAACAAAAGCAATCTCTTAATACTGTTTTTATCTATCCAGAAGTAGAAAACAGGTAAATTTTATCAGTTGTATCATTAATCTGTGTATATGACACTTAGAATTTTCAGAAATGTTGAGATTTACTATTTATGGCAAAAAGGTTCACCACAGATTTGTAAGAAGATAGTAAAGCATTAATTTGGCAGGCTTGAGGATTATGCTGAGATTATTTTTCACTATTGATAAAGTTATGAATTTATCACAGGAGAAAATTATAAAATAATTAAAAAGTCTACTCATTAACTTTGTTTCACTGTTAGGTACATAACTTTGCTGCTTCTTGGCCAGAAATTAAAACTAAAGAAAAGCTTTTGCTAATGACTAGAATGATCTATTCTTCCCAGGTTTGTCTGGCCACCTCTCTAAATCAGCAGAAGAGGTATTGTTAATTTAAATTTACACCAGGTTCAAAGCCTGACCACACCTCAGAAACTCTGAAACTTAAATATCTAAAGGTGTTTGGCTAGCGCAGAAGGCAGATTGCAAAGTTTCTTAAATTTTAGAATGGAATCATCACCTTTTGAACTGCTAACTGTGTTGGTAATATGAAGAACCTAAATCACAAAACAGAGCCCCAACCTGAAAAGGATGGTAGAAGACAGAATAGAAGCACAATTAAACATTCCAATTCCCCTTCATGCTAAATTTACAAATACAAGCAGCAGTTAGGAGTTTAAAAACATCAAAGAAAGAAAATAAAACAATTGAATTCAGACACTGAGAATTAAGCTACAACTATAATATGAGCACAGAAAATGCTATACTTAATAAACATATAGAAGCATAATTTAAATTGCCCATAAAAATGAAAAACAATGTAATAATATTCCTTTAGTTAATACAAAAGCAGAATTCAATCCCCTCCCACCTTTTTTTAATTTAAGAAAATGTACTGATACTAATAACTAAACCCAGGCATAGCATGAAATGGAGGGAAAAAAAAAAAGAAGAAAATCACACTAATCAGTATTCAGATAAAAAATTATATACATATTTCAGCAATACCCAAACTTGGTATAGGAATTTAGATACAGTTATTTCACAGCTTTGCTGAGATATATGAAGTAGGGTCAATGCCATAAAGTAAAAGGACATGTCGCTGATTCTGTGCTATAAAAAGAGGAATGCAGAGACTGATGCAATATGGAGACAGATAATCAGGGTAAAACACCTGGATATCTGGAAATAAATACTAGAAAATGCTTGACAGGCACCACATCATAATTTAATAGAAACTCCTGTTAGAAACTCTGACCAACTTATTTGATGCAATTGATCCATCCAATGGATCTGCATTATAGTTTTCTTTGAAAAGCTAGCATTCAGTATGATCCGCAGTCAAGAAATACACGTTTTGGTTATAGTGTTTAATGTGCTTCTAAATCTCAGATGCTTGCATGTGTGCAATCACCATTAGCTTTAGCAAAAGTAAATGGAAATTTGGGAAATATTGTGAGGCATATAACAAAAAGAATAGCTGAGATTTCAGAGGAGTAAATTAGCCATCAGTTGAACAGACCAGTGTTTCCCAAACAAAACCTTGAGTTAAACAATCTGAATCAGTTGAAAGTATGTTGCTGCCTTCCTGCATGCAAAGTTCAGTAATTCAAATTCCTTAAATACTTCAAAATAGAGTTGACTGAATACTTCATATTCTAGACTTATTATCTAGAAGTAGATTCCATTTTATCATTGTATTTACTGAAACTTTAATGTTCAAATGAGATTTTGACTCATTATCAAGGTAGTTTTATCCTCATTTTTCTCATGTACTTCAATGTGAAGGATGGCTAACTTTCTAAAAGCTTTTTTTTTTTTTTTTTTAATAAACTTTAATCCCCAATAAATTTACTGTCAGAAGAGACATCTAGGGGTCACAAGTGGAGCCTGAGGTTTTGCCCGTGCTCAGATTTTATGCTAATTCAATGCCCTGGCATAGAATACCTTACTTGACAATGTAATTTATGCAGCTGAATCCCACACTGAGGCAAATAACATAACATGTACCTAGGATAATGGTATTAAAATTCAGTGTATACAAGAAAAGGCCTTAATTGCAAAGTTTTCCGTGATATAGCAACTGTAGCATGATTTGGCTGGCTGTTTTGCAAATGCATTTGTACATTGGCCAACAGAGCAGGGCTCTGACTGTGTTATAGCTTCACAATTCATATGAAAAACACCACAAATGCATACACCATTTTTACGTAAAAGTTTTATTCCACTGGGTCCATTTAGGGGATCAGAGTTACAGACTATACAAGTCTTTCAGCAGTTGATTCAAGAATGCTGACATTAAAGATAAATTACAAACTAAAAATTTTATCTTGCTATTGCCAATATAAAATGCAAACTATAATAAAAGTGAAAATAAATATTACTGAATTTTTACAAATACAGATAATTTTATGGCATTGCTCTGATACTAATGTTCTCTTTAATATAACCTCGTTTACCACATTAAGACTCTCATGCACTTTGGATTTTAAAAATTATTCTCAGCTTTCAGAATGACCTAAAAAACCTACACAAAACTTCCTAATATTATTTTCAGGAAAAAGAAAAATCACTAGAGGACAGAGGATCACATGTTATCTCCCTGCCCCCTGTTTACTATGTTTTATCTAAATTTGAGAAATGAACTTGTCAAGGACATCTTATTCTCCAGATTTCTATGCTATTACCACTATTTAACACAGATTAAATTTTCCATTATCAGGATATATGCATCAGGGTCACACTACTACTGTAAAAAATACCATTTTCTTTTGCTGAGTCACATATTTACTAATTAGCCTTCATCATTCCTTACATTTAAAAAGAAACCACAAGTGCAAGGACATACATTGCATTCATGCTTTTTGACACTGAACTTCTAACCTTGCCAGGTAACCCTCAGCTGCTTCAGAGTAGCATTGAAAGGGAGACAGCTGCTCACATGAAAACAGACCAGGAAGGGTACTGAAGGATTACAGCCTTGCAGTAGCTAAGAAATCTGCTCTGCTTTCAAATGCAGGGATAATACGAAAGAGTGTTCAAACCGATTATCAATTCCCCAATAATAATTATATCACAATAGGATAAGTGATCTCATTCTGAAGCAAGCAGTTTTACATACTCTGGAACTGAATCCTATCCTTCCGTATCTTGGTGGGTATAGTGCTACTTAATTAACTGAGCTGCTCAAACAAAAGGAAAAAAAATCCTGTTAGGAAAGGAATCAAACATAATCAGTTTTTATTGTATATATAATAAAACCTGTAATCAACTGGTATTTTGGATCATAGCCAGAGCAATGCTTCTCATGATGCCACATATAGATTTCTCTTTTGAGATGCATGCAATTCACAAGGAAAAAACATTAAAAATCATGAATAAAAATGTGGTGGTCTTTTTCATATCAGATCTGACTATAGTTTTAATTCATTTGAAAATATTCATTAATCTTAACAAATTCCTTAAGACTAACATAAACAGATGTTTCCCTATGAAAGATTTATTTGTCAAAAAGGACAACGGGGAATAAAAAGCGCAACTCTATTACTGTTACATTTAAATGGATATTTTCATGGAAACAATAAAACAAATAACAAAATGACTACATAGTAAAAGTTTGCTTTCTTTAACAAGCAGTTAAAAGTTCAATATCTGCAAATGTATATTTACCTATACATACTATATGCAAGTAGTTTTTGCTTACAGATAAATGCTTATTCTTGGTTAAAATATTTTAACTCCTACACTTACCTTTTGACCTCCTGCAGATTCTGCACTGTGATGCTCTTTTAGTTTTTGTTCCTGTTCCATTATGTCTTTCAAATGTTCATTTACCTAGGGACAAAATAGTTTCTTCAGTGGTCTGTTCTATGAAACAAATCATAGAAATTCTAAGTTTTCAAAAGGTGTATAAATCACTACCACCGAGTTAACTTAAAAGATTAAACAAATATTTCAGACTATAGCCATCAAGTATAATCAGCAAATGTCCATTTCAGATGCAGTCTGGGCTCACTAGTTGTTAGCTTTACATTGTACAAACTAACCCGTCCCTTATTATTATGCTTAATGACATTTGATTAACTGTATCCTTGTTACTTGATTTGATTATGCAGTGAAGGTAGATCACCAAGCAAGATGTATTCAGATACAAACAGAATACCTTGGTTATAAATTACACAGGAAGATGACAACTCTTAGAGAGCTGAAAACAGACCCTTGAGCAGCTGTCACGGCAACTCAACATGACATGTCATACGTAACGTATATTATAGTATTTTATTTAGACTTCCCATTTATTTAGTTCACATAACATGTTTAGCTTATTTCTTCAAACTTTGCTTTTTATTATCCATACACAGCAGATAAAGGAACAGTCTGAAGTAGACACAGTTTTGATATACCTACATACATATATATCCTACCCACCGATCTTTAATCAAATCATGTAGACTACAAAGAAAATCACAGCTTGCTTTTCCAGTACTCATACCTTGTTTATCCAGTACATGACAGCATCTTCAATGTCATAAGGTAGATCTGTAGCTTGGAAGAAGGACGAATACTGCTGAGTGCATGCAATCACTTTCTCAACACTGACCATCTCTACCGTATATGCCATCATAAGAGTATCAATCATGGCCAAGTGAGCACTCTACAAAGGGAAGCAGCAATACCTAATTAGTTTACACATCAAAAGAGCACTTATGTATCATTTCTGAACACAGCCACATACATGTAGCATTTACAGTTTTGGTCTCTGCAAGTTTTCTGTCTCGTTGTCAGTTTTTGAATGAAAGACAGATAAAGAAAAACCACACATAACAGATTTGAGAATGCAATACAAAGCACAAGGACATTAATTAAAAAAAAAATTTACTGCAGATTAAAGTAACTTCTGTAATAAAACTAACACCAAAAATAAAGACCTGAAAATGGAAAGAATAAGCAATTTTAATGATTCAAACATTACATCACCTTTAATAGAGCTAAAAGACATCTTTTAACTTTGTTACCCTAGCAAAAACAAAAGCCCCTGCCTGATCAGTGTTATTTGTACTGGAAATAAAAGTTGAGACTGCCTGGTAAACAACCTTCATCATCATGAAAATGCTGCATTAATAAGTGGAAGTTTATCTATTTTTAAAGTCATAATCCAGGAAGAACACACTAATCTTAAGTAAAAAACCAACATGATAGAAATATTTTTGTTCTAGTAAACTAATTATCTTATGCAGATGCGGCTATATATGTACAACTAGGTTTAAAATAAGCATATACTGATAAATAAAATATAGCTTCTGTTAAAAGTGGAGGTATGTTTCTCCTGGTGTTGTTATGAATTGAAAGACAATGGCTATTGCAGTTTGCAATAATTAAAAAACAAACAAATGAACACACACACACATCCCAACATAAAAAAAGAGGATGACAACCAGGATTTACATTAGATTCTTGTGACTGAATAAGAAAATGATAGCAGTTTGCAGAGGCAGTGCTACAGCTAAACAGATTTGTTTCTGCTTCATGGTAAGAACACCAACAGCTTTCTAAGTATTAAGCAGCATTTCCCATGAACAAGAACAAATTCCAAAGACAGTATTTTTTAAAACATTGCCTTTAAACACAGCTCATGATGCAAACAAAGATTCCAAACACTTGTTAACACCATCGGTTCAATTCTATACAAAAATATTCATGTAAACATCTCAAGGTAGCTATAACAGCCATGGGAACAGCAATGAACAATGTGAGTCACACAGCAATATGCTATCTAATCTTTATAGTTAAAGGTCATACACGCACATCATTTATTCCAAAATTCTCAGCAGGAAAGAGATGGAACAGATCCAGACTCAGTGCTGCCCTTAGTGTAACCACCAATGAAAGTGATGCTGCTGCCCTCAGAAGCAAGCAGCAGCACATACCCATTTTATTTTAATGCAGTTAAGTTGCTTTGTTTGACCAAAAAAAAAAAAAAAAAAAGGCAAGCTATACTTGCTTTATCTTCTAAAGACAGTCACAAAACTGTTCCTGACAGCCAACCTTCCTGGGACACGCCTGTTCTCTTTGGACGCTGGATGTGACCCTAGAGCCCCTCTGTCTGCCACATACTCCATGATGCTCCTAGCATAAGTAGTGCAGCTAGGATAGGAACTAGCACCTCTTCGCTCCTGCCACCATTGATTGACTTACTCAGAATTAACTCCTTTTACCATATTCATCTGCCTTATGAATTTATTTACAGACCTTCAGTGGACAACTACTGATACAAGCTCTTAAGTGTGAATGAAGGAAAGAGCTAGGGAGCTGAATTCTTGCCAGCCAAAGTATTTAAGAAGGAAAAAGACAGAGCGTATTGCCCATGACCAGCCTCCTGAGGAAGCTGCACTCCAGTGTGAAATACAGCATTTCTATACATAGATATAAAGACTCCTTTGTTGGCCTAGCAATGCAGCACACAGGAGGAGTTTGGACATAGTATCACATTAACTACTACTAACGTCCCAAAACCTTGTGAGGGATTGCAGAGCCTAGGTCAGGCATACAAATCCATGCTGTTCTGCAGGAGTTTCCAGCTCAGATTGCAGAAGGGTAGTTCAACAAATGCAAAACAGGAAGGAAGATGGGAAGACTTGGATTGTCTCTGACATCCAGGAGTCATTGCTCTAACGGTCTTTCCTTGCTATATCTTTGTTGCCTAGTCTGAATGGCACCTGGGTTAAAACCTTGTACTGCTTCCAGACACCCCCCCCCCCCCCCCCCCCCAAATGGAATGGACGTATTAAAAGAGCAAGAAAATGATGGGTTTGCTTTTTAAGAGGAGGTAGTGCACAAAACACATTTTCCAGCCAGACATAAGAGAGGCCTCATGCGGAGTGCTACCACTAGAGCTGTGCTAAGAGTCATCTGTGCTGATCCAGAGCTGCTCAGACTGCCTGCTGCACAAGAGGACTGTTTTCATGCCCTGTCTGCAGGGAGGACACAGCCTTCCAGTTGAGGTCTGACAACCAAGGAAGCCCCAAGCAGGTTTGGAAGCAGAATCTTCCCCAGCTGTTGATCCATGACTAGTTCAATGGCTACTGTGCCTGTGCTCCGAGAACAGCCTGCAAGAAAAGCAATCACTGGCAACTCTCCAACAGGGAATTTAGGAGCCTTCGCCTCCCATGCAGGATCGTCAGTTTCTCTGTAAAACTTGATCATGCCTATGAAGTGGATTGCCAGTGGACTGAGAAAGCCATGAAAGTGTTGCTAGAACTGCCAATATGCTTAATACATTATAAATACATTAAGGAAAATTAAATTATTTACAACTAGCTAGCTAAGTCACATTTTCAATGTTTCTAGCAAATTATTAATGAACTGCAAACTACTTAAGCAAACAGAGGGAAAAATGAAAGGAATGACCTTAGATAATACTCTGTACTATCAAAACCAAGTGTAATAAGCTTTTACCCACACTGACTGGATCCATATCACAACTCTATTTTATACAAGCTATCAAATACAAGCGTCTTCAGAGTCTCAAAAGTGACTCCAAATTATTTTCTTTATAATCCAGGTAGGACACTAAAAAGGAGATTTTTTTAAAACATACTAAATAAAAAAAGGAATTCAAGTCAACTTGCATCTCTTATCGTGAGAAACAAACTAGAAAATTTCTATTTTTCCCAGTTAACAAAAAATCAACTTTATTTTATATATAATTTCTTCACTACAAATAAAAAAATTAAAACTATTAACATACATGGATTTTTCCCCCAGTAAATTGCAAGCAACCAAAGAAACACATAAGATAACTTATATCTAAAGTATTTGTTTTGTTCTTTTTTAAAAAGGGGGTACAGAAAGGAAGAGAAAACCATTTAATTCCACATACCTCTCTAATGTTTTTTTTCCACTTTCAGACAAGCTGCATTCTTTTACATCTTTTAATTCACTATGCTCAATAAGAAAGACTAAATTAAAAACCGCACTACAAAAATAGTATTCTACTGCTCTAAATACAGGGTTTATCAGCATAACTGCTGAAGGTCTCTAAAAAACAATTTTTAAAAACTTCTACTGATAGTAAATAAAGTTCCATTTTTTGTACATCTCTCACTGAACATCATATTCTAGGTACAGCTAAAAAAGCAAATGGGGGAAGTCACTTTTACTAGTTGGATCTGCCATTATGACTGAATTATGACACAAGGAAGCAACCCTTCATATCTGAGGGGGAAATATAGACAGCACTCTGAGCCAGGCAGAAACTAGGATCAGCTGCTCAGCAATGACTCTTCTCTGGACAAGCCTGTAATACAATGCCTGAAGGAACTCCCCAGGAGCTGCTGATGACTGGTACCAAGACAGTACTCTAAATGCTGCTACTTCCTTCAAGATGTCAGCAAATCCAGAAGAACTGCAGCATATTTGAGTAAGGACAAATGATTTTGAAAAAAACCCATTTCTTTAGAGGAAATAATAATAATAAAAAAAATCAGTAACACAGAATTAAACAGAGTAGAATACAAAACCGTTAGAGAAAGATCTTTAAAAAATAATCAAGATCAACACAGCAGCAGTGTACAACACAGGAAGTAATACACTATCACAAAACTGTTATGCAGAGGTTTGGTTTAAACCAATTCAAAAAATCTTTTCATTCTTTCATTTCACTACAATGGTGCAAAGTACTGAAGTCTTAGATGGCACGCTACAAAATATTAAAAGAATACAGAAGGCTAGATTCTTAGAGGTATTTTATTTTCTAAGACACAAACACAGTTTTGTCTTTCCCAGCTACACCCTGCACAGAACACAAGAGTTGTAACTTACTAATCTTTACAATCTCAGGTAATTACTAGTTAGTTTCTGCCCTGTAATGCAAGTTGCACAGCTTTATTTTCTACTGCTGCATAGTTCAGTAAGAAGCTTACTGAACTGTAGAAGAAAAAGTATTCTGAGCATGACTGCTAATGCTTTCTCTGTCTGCCTAATCTTTGATTATGGAGCTCCACCTCCTTTGGAGAACTGCAAACAACTTCATTAAAAAGTGTACTAAGCAAAAGATGTATATGATACTGTACACACAGCTACTCATGGAAAAATACCACGTTATAGACAACTCTTATATTATTACCCAATACTAAGGATATTTCTCATATTCCGTTAAAGGATATTCAAGTCAGGAGTTCTCTTTTGACCTGCCCCTTTAGGAAAATCATAGACAAAACCATTTTCCACTATGGTGCTTTAAGAAAGGGACAGAAAGAAAACAGAGGATAAAATTGTTATCCTCACGCTAAAATAAATAAATAAATACTCTTTCCCCCGAGTTTTATTGAAAAAAAGAGTCCCCTGTCTCACTATGTTTTGGAGAAGAGATTTGATCTTTGACAGAATATGGCTTTTGTAAACAGGAATATATATTTCTGTTCTTACTGAAGTTGGTCATGCTTCAAGAATTTTTTTCAAGAATTTTGTGAAGGAATTTGGTCATATTTTGAAAAAAATCATCTTCAAACTATAGTTCTTACTTGCACAATAAACACATATATTTATAACTAAATTCCCTAAAGATTTTGCCTACACCGGATCAGGCACTTGAGCAAAGAACAGAAGAGATCAGCTCTCTACAATTAGCTGAGAGAATATTTATATCACCTTTGT